GGTGCACCTGCAGGGTCCTCTTCAACTTCTTTGCCCCCCCCTCCACCCCACCCCACACATACACACACACAGAAAGCACTCGCTCAGAGTCCACCGCCACTCCAAGCTGATGCCTCGTTCCAGGTATTCCGTGAATGGCGTCGGAGGTGGGACGATTATTCGATGATGGTCGATTTATCAAGGTTGCCTAGGGAGAAACAGCTGATCCAGATGAGGACGTGTCTCACCCTAGAGACGCAACGTATCCTGGAGCACACCCTGCAAATTCCCCACAACACAGACAAGAGTGTGAAGGACGTCTTGGATGCTCTACAGACGCATATCAAGGGCCTCCGCAACGAAGCTCTCCGTAGGAGAGAACTTCTCAGTTGTAAGCAGCTGGAGGGTGAGTCGTTTGCCGATTTTTACATACGACTCAAGACGCATCGCTGAGAAATCAGCGGAAAGTGAAACCGTGTAACGCGGAATAATACTGTATAGTGATTTAGGGGCAATTTAGGGGAATTTTAGGAGTGTTTCTGACTTCATGCATTTGTTGGCTTTACTTTGTATGTACTTTTCTGTGAGCTGGAACCAATTACCCAATATCCCATTGAAATAATGGATTTGGTTAACGAACGACTCTGGAACGAATTGTGTTCTTTAACCGAGGGACCACTGTATTCATTTTTTTTACATTTGAGTTCACTACAGCTGCAACCAGGGTCTTATTTTCTTCAGTTTCTTACGTAGAACCATCGTCACTCACGAAAACAATGCCGTCTAGTCTCATGTGTTTTAATATTCTAAGTATTATTAATGAATTGTATTGTTCATTTCGCATATACTGTATAAAGATTAATTCAACCAAATACATATTCAGTAATAAACAAGGATGAATCTTTTGTACACTATTCTTAAAAAGATATCCTTAAATGCGCACGTATATGTTGGCGTTCCCAATTCATCTCGCTTTTTTTCTTTGCCATTAGTGGTTAGCTACTTCTATTGTTCCATTTATTAACATTAAATAACATTACTTAAAACATATATATTCATATTTTTACATGAATTTTACTACAGCTACAACTAGGGTCTAATTTTCTTCACTTTCTCGCATGGAACTATCGTCCTGGACTCCCGGCTGTAAACAATTACGAAAACAATGGCGTCCAATCTCCTCTTGGGTGACCATATTATTATTCATTTATATTGTATAAGGCGCATTCGGAAACATTATTTAAAGAATATAGTTTGCAATTTTCATTAATTGTATTATTTTTTGGGGAAAAGAGGGTAAAAAGGCAGACAAAAGATATGAAAAGGTCACACTTGGGAACGCATCTCATTATTATTGTTTTATTTTAATGGTAATTAATGATTCGCAATACGAAGATTCACCTTACGCTGCAATAATGGAGGGCAAATTACCGCCAAAATTTTCCAGAAAATTCCAGCATTGGGAACAATTTCCATGAAAATTTCACTTCCAGCTTTCGGAGTTCCAGTTAATAGTGACATAAAGCCACTAGTGATTTAATTTATGTAGGTATAGTAAGTCCTCTCTTAACGTTGCTTCGGCACCACGTTGCTAACCTTTTGAGACCAAACATTCGTTTAATGTCCCGGTGACTCGGTACAACATCGTTTGAGTCGTCACGGACTACTTTTACCTTTTTCACAATATGTATTTTTGATGGTGTGTGCATGCAAATGATTAAAAATAAATGAAGAAAGTTACTATATCTACCAAAAAATAAGTTGGAAAAACATGTACAGTACTTAAATGTACTTAAGGAACTAAAATTTGTATCTCTTGTGCAAAATATATGATGCCTATATTCATATTATTTGCCATCTTACAAGAATTCCAACAATGCAATTTATATTCTGCTAACTTTAGTCTGTGACATTTTATAAGATAAAACTAAACCTAAACCACCTTCAATCTTGCTAGAAGTGCAGGGGGAGGGGGTGGGGGGGGGAGAGGTGGGGTGATGTATAATGACAGCTGGCGCCAGCCAACCAAGGGTACCTAGTGGTATTTATTTATCTGTCATGTAGAGGAGTTTTAAGATTTTCTCTTATAAATCTCAATGAATGTGGCTTTACAGTAACACAGTCATGCGCCGGTTAACGTAATGATAAATAAACACGCAGGCATCAACTGTCAAATCTTATCTCAAATATATAAACAAACAAACGCCAGACATTCTGTCACCTCACCTCCCACCCCCTCTTCCCACCCTGGTGATTTCTTTATGTTTATTTTATATAATATCTCAGACTAAAGTTAGGATAATACAATTTGCATTGCTGAAATCCTTACAAGACAGAGATTAATTTAAATATAAGCGCCATATATTTTGCTCAAGATATAAAAAATGTAGTACATTAATGTACAATACTGTAGTACATTTTATAAAAAAAATTTCAACTGTATTTTTGGGTAGATTTACATCAATTTCTTCATTTATTTTCATCCATGTACATGCACACACCATACTAAAAGAAACGTAAAAGAAATAAATGACCTTAGTGCAAACCTGGAGTGCACATGTACTAATTTGATTACGGTACTAAAATTGTTATGTCTAGTGCGAATTACAACATGTTTACAGTGACCCCTCGGTTAACGAACTCAATCCGTTCCAGAAGGTCGTTCGTTAACCGAAAAGTTCGTTAACCGAAACCATTGTTTCAATGGGTTTTTGGGTAATTGGTTCCAGCTCACCGAAAATTTCCTAAATTCAACAAAAATGGTAGAAAAGTTCACTTACTTTGAGGTGTGTATGTAGAAGGCTCCTGGATGATGATGATGATGATGGGATTTAGAATGGGGGTGGAGGAGAAGGAAGAAGAGAAGGCATTGGGGTGGAAGAGAAGTCACCCTATGGCACCATTTCACCCATAAAATATTAGCTCTCTTGGTGTAATTCAAGATTATTTTCTTTAAATCAACACTGCACTGCATTATATATTGTCAATATGTAAAATATATTTCAAAATGACCAATAATTTGCTTGGAAGCACAGAAAAAAAGCGTTTAGTTGAAGAGTCTCAAGCACGATGTTACCTCCAGTGAAAACAGAGAGACTAACACCTGTTTGCTGTGTTAAGAGGCTAGATGCCGTGCATTAAACTAGTCACATTATGTTCAATAATTGTTAAAATGACTAAAAAATTGAATATTAAACTTTTAAAATTATTGAATAGTATAAACTTCTTGATATTTACTAAAATAGTAAGGAATTTAAGCCCTAGAACCGATTAATGTATTGGCAGACTGATACTAAAGCTGGTTGCCCGGTCAGTGCAAGCGAAAACATGTTGAGGTCGGTTGGTAAGAAATTCGTTAACCAAATTTTTGTTCGTTAACCGAATTGAAGATCCTTATGGAAGGCAGTTCGTTAACCGAGGCGTTCGTTAAACGAGGGGTCACTGTATATTCAAATAAATCAGTATCTTACAAGAATCCCAGCTATGTTAATTATATTCTCCTAGGTCATATCACTGGCATTTTAAAATGAGAGAAGCTTAGTAGGATTGTTAAATAAACACACAGAGACCTTCGCCTCAAACTTATCACCTCAACCCCCCAACCCCTCGCTGGGTGGCGTGGCTGGCTCAGTCCCCCCCCCCCCAGCCAGGCTTTTAGGCTTACAGTTTTTATCTTATATAATATCTCAGACTAAAGTTAGGAGATTATAATTTGCATTGCTGGAATCCTTGCAAGACAGCCAATAATTTGAATATAAACGTCATATATTTTGCTCAAGAGATAAAAATTTTGTACATTAGTGTACAGTACTGTAGTACATTTTATAAAAAAGTTTTTCAACTGTATTTTTGGGTAGATTTACATAGATTTCTTCATTTATTTTCATCCATTTACATGCACACACCATACTAAAAGAAACGTAATAGAAATAAATGACCTTAGTGCAAAGCTGGAGTGCACATGTACTAATTTGATTACGGTACTAAAATTGTTTTGTCTAGTGCAAATTATAGCATGTTTATATTCAAATTAATCAGTATGTTACAAGAATCCCAGCTATGTTAATTACATTCACCCAGGTCATTTCACTGGCTTTTTATAAGAGAGAAGCTTAGTCACCTAAGAACTGATAAATATACACGCGTTAGACCTGGGCCTGTGCCAACTGTCAAACGTAATACTTCCCCTCCCTCGCTCCCACCCTCTCTCCCCCATCTGCTCGGCGTTGCTGGAATCCTTGTAAAACAGTGAATAATTTTAATGTAAACGTCATGTATTTTGCACAAGAGATAAAAATTAATCACCTGTATCACATTACAGTTGTGATTTAAGAGTAGAAGTGCATATGTACGTATATAGTATTCCACACACGTAAGTATAAATAAAAAGTTTATGTGATGATCGGACAACGTCCATTTCGGTTAACGTTACGTTTCCAAGAACGTATCTAGGACGTTAACCGGCGCATGACTGTACACACAAGCACCTCATCAGGCATCACACAAGGAGCTTTGAATTTATGTATATGTAATGTATTTCATGGGGCAAAGGGAGGCTCAGGAACTTAACTCCCATATTTTATCTATTTCTTATGGGGGAAATTGATCTGCTTAACGTTGTTTCGTATAACATCGCGTTTTTAGGAGAGTATCCCCGACATTAAGCGAGGCCTTACTGTACTGTACTTTGGGAACTAATGGCTTTCTTTCAAGAGAACTTTTAGAAAAATCAAAGGTACAATTTGTCAGATAAATCAGTAATTTGTGTTTCTATTGGGATGGGGGAATAGCCAACAGAGTGATTACTATGGCAAGATGGTCACTGGAAAATCCCATACATCACCTATCAAATTTCTACCACACAACACCTTCAAATACTAAAGGAAACTAAACCTATGGTTATATAGGAAAATCTTCAGTACACAACATTCACATATATAGTATATATGAGATGAACAATTTAAGATATGGCCAATCATACATTAGTTGTAGTAATATGATAAATTTTTATGTAAACTTACCTCAACAGCTTTTTTGGTTTTCTTTTTTGTAGCATCATCTACTGCTTGAGATTTTCTTTTCTTCTCTTCTTTCTTTTTGGCATCATCTTTCTTTCGCCGATCTTCAAATTCTGATATCAGTTCTGGGCAGTCTAAATGTGACTCGGGTTCCCAAGTGTTATCTTCACTGCAAAATTTTTTTTAATTACTAAACCATATACAGAAAAATCCCAGTTATCTAGCACCTATGGGGATTGAGAGGTGCTGGATAAAGAGATTTTTGGATTTGTTGAATCTAACTCTTAGGATCTCCCAATAAATCCTACAATGCAGTGTTACAGGCAGACCTCACAAATTCATGTCTCAGAAAAAGGGACTCCTTTAACCTTATTTCACTCTACATATACGATGTGACTTTGAAATAGAGAAAATATAATGTAAAACTATAAATATAATGTAAAACTATAAATTAAGAAAAATGAAGAGCATACGCATGTGTGTGAGAAGTGAAAGTGTGTAGAGGTGGTGGGCTATAACTACATCCCCAACTTGCCAGCCCAGCTGCTGCATTTATTATTACATGTAATTAAACTAAAAGTTGTTGAAAAATCATTACAGTACTTTAATGTGGCTTACAAATAAAGAAAATATGATATAAAACTGTAAAACATGAAAAGTGAGGGGCATCGGTGTGTACGTGGAAAGTGAATATTTGTGGAGGTGGTGGGTTACTGGGCAAAAACTGCATGGCCACGCTCCTTCACGATGTGATGTCACAGTATACACACAGCAGCCACATAACTGTGAGTCAGCTGGGTGACCCCCTGAACTGTGCCATGTTGCCCAGAAGAGAGTTTGAATGTGGAAGGCACCTTTTTTCCCCCCATAAAATGTGTTATTGTATTTTATCATATGCTATGCATTGATTTTATTATTCATCATTGCCAAAAATATGGCAGCTCGTCCCCATTGCATACAATATTCAAACTTATGGTTCTAGCTGATTTTGGATATTTTTTTTTATTAGCTGTTATTATTTCATTTTGGTGGCGGTCAGTTAAATCTGCCGGTTGCATGGGTACCGGATAACCGGGATTCTACTTTATACTCATGTACAGCATAAACCAATCTCGTATATACTGCAGTTTGACCCAGATTGGGGGGAGGATTACTAGTTCACCAACACCAGAATACATAAAGGAAGCCCAAACCATAAGCGAGGCAGGGTGCTTAACAGTCTTTACAGTGTACTGTGGGAGGTGTGCGTCTGAGTGGGGCGGGCGGTACACCCTCCCTCCACTACTCCCAGTCACAGAAAACATAGCCTCATCCGACCACAATACACTCCTCCATGTCTCTAAATCCCACATTTCAAATTTCTTGCAAAATTTCACTCTATTTTCCTTCTGTCTCTTCGTCAACAGAGGTTTACGGCGGGCACGAAAGCTCTTAAATCCCAGGTCATCGTGCAGGGCTTGTTGAACACAACGTAATGAGACGTGAATCAGAAGACGGGGGTTTCTCTCTTTCACTTCACGTGCTGTGAGCGAGGGATTGGACCGAACTTGTCGAGAAATAACCTTAAGTGTCCGTGGAGACAATAATTTAGGCCTACCAGACTTAGGTAATGGAGCTGGTAACTCGTCCTCTCCAAGATCATGGAAACGTTTGACAAGATTTTGAACAACTCGTAATGCTACACCATTCCGAGCCGAAATTTCTCAGTACATGGTTCGCATATTCCGAGCAGACTCTCTCTCTCTCTCTGTGTGTGTGTGTGTGTGTGTGTGTGTGTGTGTGTGTGTGTGTGTGTGTGTGTGTGTGTGTGTGTGTGTGTGTGTGTGTGTGTGTGTGTGTGTGTGTGTGTGTGTGTGTGTGTGTGTGTGTGTGTGTGTGTGTGTGTGTGTGTGTGTGTGTGTGTGTGTGTGTGTGTGTGTGTGTGTGTGTGTGTGTGTGTGTGTGTGTGTGTGTGTGTGTGTGTGTGTGTGTGTGTGTGTGTGTGTGTGTGTGTGTGTGTGTGTGTGTGTGTGTGTGTGTGTGTGTGTGTGTGTGTGTGTGTGTGTGTGTGTGTGTGTGTGTGTGTGTGTGTGTGTGTGTGTGTGTGTGTGTGTGTGTGTGTGTGTGTGTGTGTGTGTGTGTGTGTGTGTGTGTGTGTGTGTGTGTGTGTGTGTGTGTGTGTGTGTGTGTGTGTGTGTGTGTGTGTGTGTGTGTGTGTGTGTGTGTGTGTGTGTGTGTGTGTAAGTTTGTATACGTGTAAATTTTCTACAACGAGTACTTACTCTCCGTATCCTTTCCATTTCAGGTAATATTCAACACGGCCATTACGTACACGCTTATCTAAAATCTTCTCAACTGAGTACTCCTCCTCTTCCTCTTGATCATCTGGATCTGGGGTATTGTCCTTCTTTTTAGGCATCGTGTTTGATTCCCCTAAAATGTAAAGATAAAAAGTTCAAACTGTGTAGCACATTCAATAATATTATTAGTTAGTAAATTACACATGTACTGAAAACTAAAATACATTACATAAAAGAAACTGAACCCAAATACATTGCAAAAATATTTTTGCCTTTTCTCCTTGTGACAAACTGATATTCATCAAAACAGCCAACATCAATCCTAATCATAGTAACACTGATACATCAACACCTGCTGGAGTGGTCCAATCTGAGGTCATTACAACATACACTACAGTACTGTACTGTACTGTACTACAGTTTGTGCTATCACTATCACATGAAGAAAAGTCGGTGTAGTTAGGTGGCTGATGAGGGGAAAGGTGGACAACAACATACGTGTGAGATAGATGTGATGTAAATTAGGTAGTGGTATAAATTAACGCACTGTACAGCATAAACCCGGATAGCTATTACCATACATCACACAAGCCTAGTGGTGAGACTATACACACACTGTATATATCTAGTGAACACAAAACAGTTGAGTTACCAAATATTATGCAATAATTGTGCTGGGCAAACATAACACCCTAATGGAAAAAATAAGGTAATACTTTACTGTACAAAAGGTCGCCACTCCATTGAAAAATTAACTTTCAATGGTAAACACGTGGTTGTACAAGTTACAGTACCGTATTTTATGGCATACAAGACGCACTTTTTTGTCTGAAAAATGCATAAAAAAATCAGCTTGCGTCCTATATGTGAAGTTGCTGTCTCCCGCAAGCTAATAAATTCCCCAGTTGCTGTCTCCAGTAGGCTAAATTATACCTAACCCAACACCAGAATTAAAAATATGTTATTGCTTACTTAAACCCATTCTTATTATTAAATAATTAAAAAATAATTATTGTAAATATAAAATTTCGATCTATAACTACTCTGTACTGTAATGATGATGATAATCTGAGATGATTGACATCTGTACGGTAAACAGCCAACTCTTACAAGCATTACAATCTATTAACGTCATACCTGCAACATTTATTTTTCAATCTACAAATACCTGATACAAATGAAGATTTACATATAGCTTTCTTTTCACATTTACATGTTAACATCACTGGCAGCATTGTGGCCAGGTTAAACTCCTCTCTGTTATCAGGCTACTGGGCCAAGCTGTTGTTTTTCAACTTGTATTTTCGGGTAGATATACGTAACTTTTTTCATTTATTTTTACCGATATATATATAAGCACACACCATCCTACATACATATTGCGAGATAATTGTACTAAGGGCAAACACATAAAGGGTATATACGTATCTTTGCACACGAGTTTGCTGGCTTAGTGGGGGAGCGGGAGGACGGCTGGGGGTTGGGCAATGGGCATTGTTAGGGAATCGGCGGAGGTAGTATCGCCATAAATGTGGTAAACAGGGAGTACAGATATACAGTACAGGTACCCCTCGACTTACGACCATCCGGACATACGACCGCCGCAGTAGTATAAAATATTTTTCAAATTACGTATTTTCTAGTACCGACGTTAGTGATCACGCTGTGTACTGACAAAATTTTAGTTTGTAATTCCCTTTAAAATGGCTGGCAAGCGTAAAAGTGAGAGTTCTCGTGGTGCTAAGATGAAAGAGACACCCATTTTAGAATTTCTATGTACCGTACAGTATTATTTTTGCATTTTCGACTTACAACCTTGTCGTTGGTCCCTAACCCCGTCATAAGTCGAGGACTGACTGTACAGTATATGCAAATGATGAATGTGTTCAATTTTTATTTGGCTTTTATTTTCTGGTTTGGCAATAGTGTACTTTTTGTTGTAATTTATTTATTGGTATTTTTATTTATTCCTCACATTTACTGGTACTGTATACAGGAAAGCCTGATGGCGATTCATATTTAAGACCCAATTCAATTTACACCACTATTTTCTTCGTATTTATGACGAAAATGGAATAAAAAATAAATTAAATTATGTTTTAATTTAAATAATCACTAAATCACGATATGTGTTATAAAAAAAAACACGCCTTGCTTACGGAGGCTGCCGGCACTTGTGCGTGGCGATGCCAGCATCACTAGTATAAGCAGTCACAGCTTGATGGACCTTTTGTTTTCACGCATGTGAACAAGAAAAGGAGAAAAACATTCTCAGGTGTCTTATGACATTTTTGCGTCCCGATTCAACTTGAGCAATAGAGCATGTGATGGTAGTGCTGGTTCAAAAGCTAAAAGAAAGTGTATATACAGTGGGGAATGCTATAACGAACGGATCCTACTACGAATATTCCTATAACGAACGGTTTTACCTATAAAATTGAGAATGTTATAACGAACGCAACTCCTACAACGAACGTGGATGAATACGGGACTATTTCGTCTGGCGCATGAATATTGTTGTACCACAACCCACAACAAGAGTGTCAGGTGCCATCTTTGTCTTATTGTGTAGCCAGTGCACCACTGTTATTGTTGAAATTTCGTCTTTTGATGTGGAAATTCGTGTTATTTGTAGAACTATTTTGTTATACAAGTACAGTGGTCCCTCGGTTAATGAGCACAATCCGTTCCAGCAGGTTGCGCGTTAACTGAAAAACTCGTAAATCGAAACCATTGTTTCAATGGGTTTTTGGGTAATTGGTAATATGGTACTTTATCTTACGTTAGTGTTGTTCAGCATGCAGGTACCCCTAAACACTGGCACAGCACTATCACTTCCACTGGGATTCTTGGCTTTAAGGTCCTCAAACAATTGTTTGGCCTTCTTACAAATTATAGCTTCACTAATGCTATCACCTGCCATTTCTTTCTCCTTTATCCACACTAAGAGTAAATTTTCCATCTCTTCAATCACATTACACCTTGCTTTGCTGAGTCTAAAGATTCCCTTAGCCACTTGCACAGTTTTTAACTCCTCTTTATTCTTCAACCTTGAGTACAGAAACAGGTTAAGCATCTTAATTTGCACTCCTCGAGAGACGTAGAGTGAGGGGCGACATGATAGAGGTGTATAAATGGAAGTCAGAGCTAAACAAAGGAGACATTGCAAAGGTACTCAAACTATCCAACCAGGAGCAAACTCGTAACAATGGCTTTAAATTAAACAAATTTAGATTTAGGCACAAAATAGGTAAACATTGGTTTGGAAATAGAGTAGTGGACGAGTGGAACAAGTTACCAAACATTACCATTAACTCGAATACACTGGATAGCTTCAAATAAAGGTTGGATGGATATATGAGCAATAGGGGTTGGGTGTAAATGGGACTGCCCAGTGTGGGCCAATCGGCCCGCTGCAGTTTCCTCCATTCTTATGTTGTTATATTTTAAATTTCGCATCATTTAAATTTCACGCCTAATGTTTCTCTGGCCACGCTACACTGTCCTAAGGGCAAAGCTGTACTGTACATGTACTCAAAATGTACTAAATTATTACTAAATTTTTGTCGAGTGCAAACTATAGCATGTTTATATTCAAATTAATCACTATCACAGTGGTTCTCAACCTTGTTTGCCCCATGCACCCCTTTCACCATATGTCAGAATGTCATTCCCCCCTCCTTTCCAAGATTGTCTGCCTCAAAAAGTACATTCCAAATACTATGCATATAATACTGAAAATTCTTTATTTTTTCCATATTAGTATCAGTCCCCCCCCCCCCTTAAAACCTGAGGGGGAAAATTCCCCCCTGGTTGAGAACCCCTGCACTATCATATAAGACTTCCAGCAATGTAAATTATATTCTCCCCGGTTACTTCTGTGACATTTTATAAGCAAAAAACAAAAACTCAATGTAAAGGACATAAATAAACATATAAATACTTCACTAGACCTTTGACACAACTGTCAAACATGCCACCTCCCCTTCCTCCCTCCTCCCAGCCAGGGTTTGGTGGTTATAGGCTTACAGTTTTTATGGTATTTAATATCACAGACTAAAGTTAAGGAGAATATAATTTGCATTGCTAGAATCCTTGCAAGACAGAGAATAATTTGAATATAAACGTCATATATTTTGCAGAAGAGATAAAATTTTTAGCCCTTTGTAATAAAATTATTTAGAACATGACAGTTCAGTGACATTTTATAAGAGAAAAACTTGGTCGCTCTTAAGGACAGATAAATAAATAAGCACTAGACCTTGGCATCAACTGACAAACATATCACCTCACCCCCCCCCCCATCTTCACATCAGCTGATCGCTAGTAAACAGACCATTTCACGTCCCATAATTTTAGCTGTGTTGATTTATGAGTGTTTGTTTTAACATAATACTGTACTACAAAAAACAATGTTTTGTTTATTCTAGGAGATGGGCTGAGGTGCATCTGGGTAGACTGTCAGTCTTTTTAGAATTTTGTGTTTCTCTCAAGTACCAAACTAAATTATTCCATTGAAACACTTCAATTTAGTGTGAATTCGGTTTAAAGCGTGTTATATCGACGTTCTACTGTATAGCGCAGGGATGGTCAACCTCCGGCGCATGCACCAACCGTGGCGAGTTGCATCCCTGTGATAATAATAAAGTAAGGCAGTAAGCCTACTCATTATTTTTAGCGATTTTATTATTTCGTGCACATCCTTTTTAGCGAATGTTATCTTCTTTCACATTTATCTGTTTTCAGTTAAAAATATGCTTAATGAATCAAACTAGGAAAGATGGACTTTTGTTCTGCAATCGTCCCATAACATGTTCAATACGCGTTTAATACTTGTGTGACCGTGAGGGTCCAGGCGTCTGCCCCAGCAATGCGTCACAGGTTCTTGCCAGTTTACAACTGACACTCGGTGCGGTACGACGTTGTGCTTTGTTTGTCCTTTGTGAACATTTGCAGTTTTGTACTTTTCGAAAATTAAGCCTTGTTTTTACATTCCAGTTACCCATCAGTGCCAAAGAAAATGGGCAAAAGAAAAGCAGAAAGTGATAAGCGTGTCCATTTTTGTACTTTCCTTTCTTTAGCTTTGGACGAATCAAGTGACATATGTGATGTAGCCCAGTTAAGCATTTTATAAGAGGAATTGATGATCATTTTAGTGTCTTTGAAGAACTTGTCTGTCTTGAGTCGCTTCATGGAAAAACAAGAGAATCAGACATATTTGACAAAGTAAAATCATGCCTAGAAAATCTACAATTAGATTCTAGTAAACTCATCACTGTGTGCACTGGCGGAGCACCGTCAATGATAGGTAAAGTTGCCAGGACTACAACTTTGCTTGATAACTTTTTAAATCATCCTCTACTAAAATATCACTGCTTTATACACCAAGTCACTGTGTGGAAAAACTTTAAATTTGCAGCATGTGTGAATAAAATTAGAGCAAGAGCATTAAACAGACGAGAATTCAGAGAATATTGTGAAATGTTAGATTTGGAATATGGCGACCTTGTCCTTCATTGTGAGGTGCGCTTGGCTTTCTAGAGGACAGGTTCTGAGTAGGTTTTGGAAACTGAAAAATACTGTTCATAATTTTCTAGAAGAGAAAAATGAACTACCTGAGGAAAGAGCCCTTTTATGTGATAAAAACTGGCTATTTGATTTGGCATTTTTAGTTGATGTTACCAGACATCTCAATGATCTAAATTTGAAACTGCAGAGCAAGAACAAATTGTTTCCTAGTTTAGTAAATGACATCAATGCATTCAAGATGAAGTTAAAACTGTTCATGTCTCAGTTAGAAAATGAGGATTTGAACCAGTTTCTGCACTTAAAAGAGCAGAGTGAATGTGCTGCTGATAATGGCAATTTGACAAAATATACTGAAAAAATCAAGTTATTGCAAGAGTCATTTGAAAGTCGTTTTCGTGATTTTGCTAAAGAAGAAGACTGCATACTCGCATTTATAAACCCTTTTCACTTAGTGAACAAAAAATAATGAAGATGCCTAGTGACATACAAATGGAACTTATTGACTTGAAAACAAATTCATTATTGAAAATGAAATTTTATGAACTTTCCTCAGTCCCAAATGCTTTTGACATGATTAATTTCTGGCGATCATTACCCTGCGAAAATTTCCCAGAACTAAGAAAATTTGCCCAGAGTTACATATGTCATTCCGGAACGACATATAGATGTGAACAAGCATTTTCATCCATGAAATTGATTAAAAGCAAAACGAGGTCGCGATTGACTGATTCAAATCTGAAGAATTCTCTGCTGCTCCCAGTAACAAATTTAACTCCAAACATTGAAAGACTGGCAAAATCAAAACAGACTCAAAAGTCTCATTAAAGGTAAGTAATGTTTATCTGCTTTATCAGATATTGTTTCTATATTTAATAATTTTATCATGTAAAAATGCTAATTATGCCTATAAACATATTTTTACAAGAAGTAGACGGGGGTACAAGAGTTGTATGGCGCGTCTGAACTCGTGTGTGAACAAATTGACGCATGGTATGTAAAAGGTTGGCCACCCCTGGTATAGCACAATCCTGCAAGGCCTCAACTGTAGCAATGGGATCCATGGTGAACCTCGTCTAGATACTTTGTTCTTGTTTTTATTGGGTGCCAGTGAAGTCGGCCCTTGGTGACTTTGGCCAGTGATCTCAGCCCAGTTACAGCGGTGATCTTGGCAATGGAGGCAGCAACATCTGATCCAAGCTTGCCTGATGAATGTGGTCTTGGGGTCCAGGAATGAACTGGTCACCGATCTGACAAACAGTTGCTGCACAGTTAATCAGTCTGGATCGTTGAAAACATCTCCATTTCGTGGACTTAGCACTTTCTCTTGACTGTATATGAATAATCGCTGGAATCAAAACTCCACCTGCAGTTGGTGCTTCAATAATCTTGTAACCCTTGCGTCTTCAGTGGGCTGCAGTCTGGCTCATCTAGAGATTGTTCTTAGCTGTGTTGTACCTCATCACACACTTGAGCACTTCCAGTTTGGTAGATCGCTTGTCTCTTGATATCGTTATATTGCATTTTTCTGCTGCCAGGCATTACAGAAAGCGCTTCCAATTCACAAGCAACGTGGTATTGCTCAAAAGATTGCTGATATTTGTGAGCACTGTGGTGGTAAAATGAGTTTCAACCTGATTAAAACAAGTAAACTTGAATTTTGTGAATCAAATCCGTTGGGAATTGAAGTTCAAACGGACAAAACTCTCTGTAAATCGTGATTATTTTGTAATGAATAGCACAGAAAATGCAATAATGGTATAAGAGACTTCTATAATGGGGAAAGGTTGAGGTAACCACCAGAAGGTATTATTGGTTGAAATTTTTCCTAATATGATTTTAAACACAAAAAATTTTAATGCATAAGACTGACCAACATACCCAACCTATGGGCACATGTTAAGTTAGGTTCTTTGCATTCTTTGTATCTGGTAAATGCATATTCAACTCTTATATATTGAGGTTGATATACATCAGCAATGAAACCGTGGAAGTGTTCACCATCATTTATAATCGTCTCTTGAACAGGGATTCAGCGAAACAATAAAAATTACCTGGAAGGTGTGACGGGATAGTAAATAAAATTACTGTCAGGTTCTATGCTTTGCGTTTCCATTTTGTGTTTAATATCATGTTCTTAGTATATAATAAATACAAATATTGCATAGAACCTAATAAAACCTGACCTAACATACCCAACCTTAGGAATGTTCAGGTAAGTTCTTCAATTCTACCACAATATATTCTTTTGATATATCATATTAAAGCAAAATTTTTAACCAATTCGGACAATTCCTTCTGGTGGGCTCCCTCGTCTACACCTTTACAAAATTTTGATTATATTTCCTTGTAACTAGAAAAACCTCATATTTAAATCCTGACTGTTAATGTCATTGTTGAACTCGGCCCACATAGACGTCACTGGCACCCGTTTTCATTATGTTGAGCAAACGCGCCAACAAAACATCCCAGTGACGGAAAATGTCTCTTTGATTTGGTGGCTGGACCGTGTTTGCCAAACATGTTTGGAGGAAAGTGTCCAGTGTGCCACTTCCTTTAGTGGTTTGATATTAGCTATCACAAGAAATTAACAAATATATAAGAACATAAGAAAATAGGGAGTCTGCAATAGGCTGGTTGGCCTGTGCAAGGATTTTAAGATTAGGTTAGGTTGAATTTATGATTATCCGATAGTATTTGATGTTTGGAACAACTTCCAAATACATGGATGACCGAAAGGATATTATATATATATATATATATATATATATATATATATATATATATATATATATATATATATATATATATATATATATATATATATATATATATATATATATATATGTGGAGTGTGAATGAGCCATCATCCAGATCAGTCTTCCTAGAGTCATTCTTTTTCACCTCATGCGTCACAAATAACAATGCCCCACAAATGACTTGGGAGGACCACAGGAGCCGTCAGGACTCACCACCCTGTCTCCCCCCGTCCTCAGTTCTATACAAGCTAAAGCATTTAAGTAAAAAATTGAGGCATAAAGAAGTAACTGACGTACCCATTGTTCAGGAACGCCAAGAAGCACCGCTAGTTGTTAATTACAGTTGAATCTAGTTTCTCAGATGATGATGCCGCACAGCTACAGTTCCAAGCTAGGCCCCTGCCAGAGTGTAGCGGCAATAGAAAGTGTTGAATTAGGATGAAAGAGAAATATCCCGAATTGAAGTTTTCATTACAATATGATTAATTTCTGTAAAACATATGTACTTCTAGCACTGACTTGCCTCCGTATTAGGTGGATTGATTTGTTTTCCGTGCGTGCTCCTCAGTGTAATGGCGTCGAACAAGCGAGCGGCTTTGAATAATAAACATATTAGAACTAAATGGAATTACTACATTAATTCTAAAAATAAAAACTTAAACAACATAACTATCTTATAAATATTAACTAAATTTTTTATTTTGTAATAATTTTTTACAAAAAGATGCAAAGATGTTAATTTCACTTCTACAAAAGTTAAACGTATAACACTTGATTTGACCATGGAGTTTAATATTACCCGCGAAAATAAAAATTTAATTTTTCGATGAAAGTAGATACTGGTTTCCATCCACAAAATTTTATTGACAATAGCTGATTTATAAATAACTTGAAAAAAGGGAGAGTGCATGCATCATTTGCCCAATTATAAATGACACCAATTAAAGCTCAATTTCCAGATATTGTACACTCGAAATCAAGGGATGTAGAGTAAGGAAGATCAACTCCCTTTAATTTGCGTGTATGTTTCAGTGCCGCCGTTCGCTACACCATCTGGCGCTGAGCGACATAACTAAGGCAGTATTCATAGAAAACAAAAAATGCCGTTTAATGGGTTAACTATACTAACCTTGACGTATATGTATTCTTGTTATACCTTAAAGGGCATTACTCTGCCAAGTGCCCTTACTTGGAGCTGGCGAACGCTCACCCCACTAGAGGTCACACCTCACGGTTGAAGAAGCCACAAGGTCAAAATTTCAGGACAAACTTTTTTCACAGTGAGAGTTGTGAACTCTGGAACAATCTGCCAGAGAATGTGGTGACGGCGCCGAGTATGAGCTTATTTAATAGTTTAGTTTCACAAATTTATTGACTAAGCTTGGAGTACAGTTTGCCTATTCTGAATAATTCAGTCAGGTCTTGACATTGAGGGTGGTATCACTTCTCACTGCCACGCAGGACAGAGGTTCATACACAAAGATATACATCATATTCATTAACAGTATATAGGTCAGGTTCATGTGGATGATGTCACTGTTCACTGCCATGCAGGACAGAGGTTCATACACAAAGAAATACATCATATTCATTTGCAGTATATATAGGTCAGACTCATTGAAGATTAATCAGTGTGGGCTAGCAAATTTGGGATAAACAGCAAGAATGTCCTCAAGCACCCCCGATTCAATGTAGTAATTACAAAGTTCATGATACAATAAGCCAGGTGGCCTGAAGCCTTTGGCAGTGTCACATTCAATAATACAATGTTCAAGTGTATGCCTTAAAGGTTTATCACAAAGCTTATTTAAGAGTCACTTGACCAACACAGGCGCGCAGGTACAGACAGTACATGCCGCCGTAAATAAGGTAAGGTGGGTAAATAAAGTAATTTGTTTGAGCCCATAGCCACTTTCAACCATTCAACATATAAGTCCAGGAAGGCAAGCATTAACCCCACATGCTACCCTGATAGGAGCCAGTAATAACAACTTCTGTGCTTCCCATTGTACAGGATACAAAGGGGAGTCCAGGTGGCAAATCTGAAATATGATTTTTGAGTTATCTATGCCTTATAAAGAGAAAACAGTGTAAGCCAAGCTGCCTCGTTTTGTTGTACTGCGCACATCATTGTCATTCCTAACAACCCCCTTTAATTCATTATTACGCTACATAACATTCAAATCCACCGCGCTTGTACTGTAGAATCTCAGAGAACGGGAAACATTGATAAAGGATAACTCACCTACTCAATGTTACTGAATCATGTGTTGTATTGTACCCAGGTACAGTTATATAATGTTAATTGTATGTATTCATAGCATTAAGGAGAACTCAGGGTATCTATAAGATGATTGGGAAAGTCCATTTGATCCGAACTAGTGTACTTTAGGACTAAGTGTAGATCGTGGTTTGAAGGTCATATACTATATACGTCTGTGGACGTTTAGCTAACATAGCTTCCGCAGATATCATATGAAAATACATGAGAACAATGATCTGGAAAAGCATAAAAGTATCAGAACTAAGTGAAATGTTGGAAGTGATCTAGAAACTATGCTTCAAAAAGAATATCTTGTATACCCACGCCATGAAAATACGATGCTAGGCTTTGTTTGGGTTGGCGCCTAGGCCGCTTCGTGTGTGCCGCGTTGATATTATAACCCAATGAATTTACCCAGGAACTAGCAAACCAGACCCTTACCTTCGTGTGTAATTTAGGAGTAAGATATGTATTTATTAAGTATGAGGTCACAATAGATAGGAAAATGGAGAGGTGGGAACCATAAGAATCCAAAGTGAAAATTGAAGATTGGAAACTGTAGGCCTAAACAGAGAGGAGTGTGGGTCTGTGGGAGTCGGGACATCACCCTCAGTGATGCCTCGACTTCTCCTAACACAGGTCAGTGTCCTTCATCATGCTTTATTCAGCACTAAAAAGACTTATCTAGCAGTTTTTACATCTTATAATCTTGCTTGATGTCATAAAGTGAAGTCATAGTGTACTAATGTGTGGTGACGAAAGCCCCTCCGGCAGTATTCTCGGTGATGCCTCGACTTTTCCCAACACAGGACGACGCGGTCTGAACGCCTACCGGGCGTCAGCCATGACCACACTGTGAAGGCCACACCACAGTGGTCATGCACTTCGACTGTGAACCTGTGGATTCCCAGCATACCACCCCAAATGAGTAGAAATACATAAGGAAGGTTGAGAAACTCCGCGGTCGTCACTTGGAGCGATCTATAATACCAGACGTAGAAACAGTACTGGTATGTCTCTTGGTGAAGCCCTTCGTCTCTAACCACCGAGGGCGGTGTGCGAACGAGGTGCCTGATATGTGTACCTAGAAATTACAAGGAGTCCCATACTTGCAGGTATGGAGTGTAACAGGTGTGGAGGTGATACCACAGGGAGGTGAGATGATGCTACCATGTATAACCTAAGGTGCTATATTCCATACAGGTGCAGTCTGACGTGTTGAGTGTTGTTGTAAGAATGGATGACCGGGTAAGATGGTCACTGATTGTTATGCAATAATTATGTTTTATGAGGAATAAATTAGTTAAGACTTGTTATGGTTTCACCCTTCTTTCCCCTTATCGATCTGGTCAATGAAAAACCTAACCCAATGCCTAGCTCACTCTGCCCGCGACCTAACGAGCTACATACTGCCTAGAGGGTCTGGTGGCAGCAACCTTTAGAATTTAAGTATTTCTCCTTAGAATTAGTGACCCCAGATCTGGCAGAATATTGTTAGTCATGCTGTATATTTACAAAACCAAGGCCGCATCCACTTAATACAACAATTATATCAATCCGCTCAGAAATGAAAAGATTATTATTTTTTTTAACATTTTACACGTTATAATAACTTGTTTTCTATGTGGGAATAATCAGTCAAAAATTGAGTTTGCAAATATACAAATGTAAGAAAATAGAAGATGTCAAATATAATTTTACTCGTGAAAACACGTTTATAATACAGCATACAGTATTCTCCTAAGACGTTTGTTTTGGTTAGCAGGGGACGCGCTGCTCATATTCGTCCCCAGTTTAACATATGGTTTCATTTATGGTGAAAATCAAGTTAGAGTCATACGAGAATCTTATTTTAACTGGGTCATAGTCTACTATTAACTTAGGACGAAAGAACACCAATCTCCTTCTTTAATGGTTACGCTGCATGGTTTTGTGATCTGTCGCAGTTTGGTCAACGGAGCATTTTAAAGTAATGGGCTCAGGCAACAAAACACTAAACTGGCAACTATCATGAATAAGAGTTACCATATACAATTTCCAGAACCCCAATATTAAGTGTCACCAATATCATATACTTAACTCTTTGCAAGCCAAATACAATCAGGTGTACATATTATTTATCATAATTATAATATTCGCTACTGATATATGAAAAATATATATACAGCTCAGTTGAATTATAGTAAACCAGCAACAACGTAAAAGGAAGTAACCTCATGTAACTGACGAAATTTAATATTATCAAACATTTAAGCTCCCTGAGTAAGCATTACTTGCAAATGTACAAATATTGATATATTGCAATAACAGTATTAGTAACGTTAAAAGAACTAAAAAGTCATACAAAATCGAAAATAAGGAAGTAAGGGGATAGTGGCAACTGACAGAGGTGGTCCCGACGTCCCGTAGGCTGAGGCGTCGACTGCCGCCCGGGCGTAAACTGACAGTGAGGCTACACCTCGTATGGAGTGTGAGTGTGAGGGCAAATCATCGTTTGTAAATTACCAATTTTCTACTGATGTGACCCCCAAATCCGATAAAACTCACATGAATACAACGGTTCATCATCTTATTTGACAAGAGGTTACGGAAAATCCGGATTGGACAGAAAAACTGCGAACAATACAGTAATTTGACGTTGGTTTCTAAAGACTGAAATTATTATTTTTATTATTTTAGAAATCTTGTAACACTCAAGAAATTAGAAACAATAGCCTTACTACAAGGTCAGAAATGTTTGAAGCTTAAATGAATAAAGTAACGGAAGGGTGAGCGTCGTTAAGGTGTTTTTGCCTGCTTTACCTGCAGGTCACACCTGCTGATTCCAGACAACATTGCACCAGACTTCCAGACAAACCAGGTATCTTTCAAAATAGTATCTGCAAATCTATTATCTCCTGTCTCTTGTAAAGCTAATGAAAATACCAGTTACATGTTTTGATCTTGATGCAACGTTTTATATACATAAACGAATGGAAATTGTAAACTCACTTCCGTCTTGGAGATGCGACATTTATACACGGCACAGGAGGAGAGGAAAGTACAGTGTATCAGGTCAGTTCTGATGTCTACAATTGTTATAATTTTTCGAACCATGGTCGATTATCAAAGATATTTTTTTAACATTTAGGATAGTTGGCATATGATTACACTTTTACAAAGAACGGGATCGACGCTAACTATAATTGTGTGCCACGTAACGGGAATTATTAATGTTGATGAGGGCATCCATCCAGAATTTCAATTCAGTCATTAAAGGCGAACCAAAGAAGATTATCTGGACATGTTTGTAATACTAATGTCTGATTATTAGAGTTGCTTGGGAAAGTT